CATAATACCAGCACTTGGCAGGCAGAGGCATGAATATCAACTTAAGTTCAAGACCAGATGTTTACGTAGTGAGTTCCAGGTCAATCAGGACCACATAGAAAAATTCTGGCTCAAGAACACAAATCTAAACAAGTACTCATACTCAGTTATATAGGTAACTACTGTTGTTAGCTACACAGAGACGGTGGGATAGTAATCACCAGTGCGATGAAGGGAGGGTGGAAAGAGGAATACTGTTAAATGGGTACAGTTTCAATTCTGAATGATGAGAAAGTTCTAGAAAAGCAGTTCTAGCAGCTCATTCCTGTTTCCACATCTGGGAGGCCAAGGCAGGAGGGTTGTGGTGAGTTCCGGCCAGCCTAGACTACAGACTAGGCCCTATCTGGAAGAAAAGCAAAAGATAAGTAGTGACGATAATACAATAGTACCAGTGTATTTCATGCTGCAGAACTGCACATTAAAAGCTCCCCTTGTATCTTATATGTTGAATGGATCTTTTATCCTTGTATGATTTTATACCATCCTACACTGTTCATCTAGAAAACACTGCCTCGTTAATAAGTTAGCTTTATAACGTTGACATATTTCATTATGTAATAATATTCAGAAAATCATTTATTAACACCATCACACATCTCACCAGGATAAGCCAAGTACCAGGAAGTTGTCAAACTCCGGGTAAAAGATATGTTTTCCAAAATTCTTTTAATTGGATGCCTGAGTTTTTCTCATTAGCAACATATTACTGCCAGAAGACTTCTTTAAGTTGGCAAAGCCCACTTCTTTTATTATCAGCAGTATGTCTGCCAGACAGTCAACTCTGGCTGCTTTGTAGAAGAAATGCTTTATATACATACTTGCTTCCTACTAGTGATACTTGGTATAGGAAAGGGTCAAGATGGAATAAAATTAATAATTTAACTATAAAAACCACTATTTTAAACATTTGTGTGTATAAGGACTTCTGTGTATTTATATTTATGTGTATGTAAAGTGTCTATTTGCACCACGCGCACACCTGGTGCCTATGTAAGTCAGAAAGAGGCATCAATCCCCTGGAATTGGAGTTAGAAATGATTGTGAGCCATCTTTCTAGACACTCTCCCCCACTCAAAATAGTCTTAAGTTCAGTTTTTTTATTTTGAAAGACTTACCTCATTTTATGTGTATGAGTGTTTTACCTACATCTATGTCTATGTACTGTGTGTATGCCTGGTGTCCACAGAGGTCAGAAGAGGATGTTGAAGCCCTTAGAGCTGGAGTTACCATAGCTTGTGAGCCACTGTGTGACTACTGGGAATTGAACCTGGGTACTATGGGAGAGCAACAAGTGCTCTATCTCTGAGCCATCTCTCCAGCCTCATTTGTTTTAATGGTGAGTGCACAGAATGTAGCTCATACAGTTGTTCCTCTGTATCTGCAGGTTCCATATCCATAGATTCAATATACCATGACTGAAAATACTTGGGGTTAAAAGGAAATTCTGCCTACAATAAATATATAGATTTCTCCCCATGTCATTATCTTTGAGCAATAACTACTTACATTAGGTGTCAGTAACCTAAAGATGACTTAATCATCTAGGATGTGCATAGGTTACGTGAAAATGCTATACCATTTCCCATAAGGAAATTGAATAGCTGTGGAATCCCTTAATACTATCCAAGATCAGCCGTGTTCAACTTCCCCTAACTACCTCAATAATAACTTTTCGTGATTAGCTTATTTAATCAGATTCTAAACATGTTACTTTTAGATGATACATTTAATCAACAACGGCTTTCTCTTTCTTCCTATTTTTCTTCTTTTGTGGTGTCTCATTTGGTCCAGGTTTTCTAACACTGAACCACACTCTTATTTCCTCCCCACCCCCATTCCATCATGTTATTTATTTGTTGAAGAAACTGGATAATCTGTCCCAAAAAGTTTATTACATTCTGGATCCAGTCACCAATACCGCTGATGAGTCATTAACCTGTTCTCCACTCTGTGTTTCTCCACCTTAGTCTAAAGGCCTAATTACATTCAAATTCCCCTGATTAGAATTCATAGGTGGTGCGGTGTATTTTTTATTGCACCATATCTTCAGGGACATAATATCTGTGCTTCTGCTTTAGTGACATTAAGACTGGTCATTGGGTTGAGGCGAGGAGGGACTGTTATATCAAAAATTCCCTATTTTTCTCTCCATTCAAAATTGATCATTTTTTTAATGGCATGTATGTGGATGCCCTTGGAGGCCAGCTGGAATTACAGGCAGGTGTGGGCTGCTGTATGTGGGCACTCAACCACTCAGCTCTTCTAGAAGAGCATCAAGCACCACTAATACTGAGCCATCTCTCCAGCCCCCATGTCTTTGAGATTTTAAACTTCTCTTGAACTTTTGAAAAAGAATTGTGAGGGATGAGTGTGGTGGTACATGTGGAGACCCGAGGATCAGATTTTCAAAGCCAGTCTCTGCTATACAGCAAGTCTAAGCCTGGTCAGGGCTTGTATTTTTGTTTTGCTTTGGTTTTTAAAAAATGTGTAGAAAGGCATAGTTTTGTGAATTTGGCTCAAAGAATTAACCTCAACACAGAAGAATTAATCATACCTTCTATCGCCACCCCTCCACACTACCCCTACCTTTTGGAAACAGGGTTTTACTATCTTATTATGTAGTTGGCCTGGAACTTGTATACCAGACTATCCTGATTTCAGTTCCCAGGACCCAGGTGGGCCGCTCATAACTGCCTGTAACTCCAGCTGCCCTCCAAGGACACACACACACACACACACACACACACACACACACACAGAGAGAGAGAGAGAGAGAGAGAGAGAGAGAGAGAGAAAGAGAAAGAGAGAGAGAGAGAGTTATATAGACATATACACATAAGTAAAAATAAAATAAATCATTAAAAAACAAAAATCTTAAAAGAATTGAGTCCCAGCATTGGGGAAACAGAAGCAGGAGGATCTCTATGAGTTTGAGGCCAGCCTGGACTATATAGAGAATTCCATGACAGCCAGAGCTACATAGAGATACCCTGTCTCAATAAAATAAAATCTCAAAGAAACAATGATCGATAATCATTGAGACTACTGAATCAAGTAGAAAATAGGGAATTTGTAATAGATTAGCCCCTATTTGCTTAAACCCAATGTTCTGTCTTAATATCACTAAAACTGACAAAGATCTGCTTGCCTCTGCTTCCTGAGTACTGGAATTAAAGATGTGCACCACCACACATGGCTTCTCTCATCTTTGGAAATCAACTTTAAATATACTCATTAAATATATGTTTATTTCCAGGCACTCAGTCTTACCTTCTGGTAAATAAACTTAATTAACTACTAATAATACTGCATTATTTATTATTATTTATTAATTAACATAGTCAATAAGTAATTACATTAAATAACATGAATTAACTACTAAAAATTGTTGCAGAGGTCAGGAGAGATGGCAAGGATTAAGAGCTGTTCTTCCAGAGACAGTAATTTGTTCAATTTCTAGCACCTTGGCTTACAACTGCCTGTAACCCCAGCTCCAGGGAATCTGACGTTCTCTTCTGGCTTCTGCATGTACCCATACATGGTTACACAAATCCATACACACGTACACCAAAATGAAAATCCAAAGCCAGTACAATAACAGAACTACACATGATATGCCAAGGGAACCCTGTAAAGGTATAGAGGTCTGTTTATAGAAGTTACAGAATAGCATCTGAACCGAAGTCCCGAGGCTGAATTAGGCATCTCCATTTCAGCAGGGCTTCCTCTAGTTCCTAGGAAGTATCAAGGTTCTTTTCTGCTTCAGAGTTTCTATACTCTACTGAGCTTATGATTCTAACAGCCTTTCCCTGGCTATCTCTCACCCACTTAAGCAGTCCATCATATCACTTCCACAGTTTCCCCTTTATTTTTTTTTCTCAGAGCATCTCTGTGAGTTTCCTTATCATTTTTATACATTGTGTGTGTGTATGTGTGTGTGTGTATCTGTGTATGTAGAACTATGTGGGTGCAGGTGCCTATGGAGGCCAGTTACAGACAGTTGTAAGCCATCTGATGTAGGTGCAAGGAATCACAACTTGGATCCTCTGCCTGCTCTGAACTGCTGAGCCATCTCTCCAGCCCTAAATTTCTTCACATCACCACTCATATTTTGTAATTGCATATCCCTGGGTGGGATTATTTGGCCTAAATCTCAATGGAATGCAAGCTTCAGAAAGGCAGGCATCCAGTATGGTGTATTCAGTGTACAATGACACCCACATACTTACTTAATAAATTTATAATGAATGAAAGGAGTAGCAGTTAGCAGGCTGCCTCCCCTGTGCAGCCTCGTTTCTGTCATCACTACCATCACCAAATGACTCAGGTTGAGTTCAAGCCAGCCCAGTGCCTACACCAACTACTGGCTCGTTTGCAATATTTCAGATGGTGGATCAGGGCTTCTTTCTGAGGCCTCTCACAGGAATAGATTACCTTGGGGGTTTTGAGCACAAACTTCTGTTTGCCTTCATCATGGCCCAGCTGTGCCTTCAGTTTTAGGAGTTTCGTCACCTCCTCCTCGATCTGTGGAAGGAAAAACGCCGCTGGACTGACCATTTGTCACTCCCCTCCCTCCCCATTCACCCCGATACTCCTCTCTCTCAGGCCTAGCCTTGCTTCTCTCGGGACCCACCCTAGCTATCTCCTCACTCAGCCCTTCACTGTACCAGCCAGGTTCCTTTATCCTCATGCCTGTCCTCCAGACAGACCACCTTCTATGTTCCTCTGGTTTGGTCCGGCCCCTCTCCTTCCATGCGAGTCGCACCTGCTCAGCGGACGCTTTCTGCTCCTTAAGGCCCCTCACATGCGCTCCCTGGAGTCGCACCAGCTCTTCCAGCGCAGCACGATCTGCCATTCTGTCTGCCAACCGGAACTGACGGCTATCTAAACCCGCCTTGGTGGACTCAGCCTAGGTTCGGATGACTTCCGGTTACCGAGTCCAGCTTTCGTGCCTAGAGCGTGTCTGGCGAAGGTGGAGGGGACACTTCCGGGTCAGGGAGCGTGAGGTACTCGGAGTTCAATCCCACCATCCGGACTAACTCCGATCTCAGGTGTTTCCAGCTCTCCGTAGCCTTCCAGAAATCGGACTGGCCTCGTTCCCAGTCCCTTAACTTCTGTTCTTGAAAGCCGACGTCCTGCTGCACAATGCCCCACCTGGGGCCCCTGCGCCGCAGGGCCTGGGCTGCGCTGCTCGGCCAGCTCCTGCGACCTCCCCGCACTGTGTGCATCCGGGCGGTCGGCTGTCATAGCCAGGTGAGCCGCCCTGAGCCGGCTCTTTCCCGGTGGGGCCCCTAGCCTGAAAGCCTAGACTTGTGGTTTCTATTGTATTATTATAATTGGTTTTTAATTTTTGAAGTTTTATTTCTTTTATGAGTATGGATATTTTTCCTGCATGTATGTGTGCCCTGTGTACACGCCCGCAGAGTTAATAGCCGGTAGTGAGCCACCGTGTGGATGCTGGGAAAGGAACACAGGTCCTCTAAAAGAGCCACCTCTTCAGCCCTGCAATTGTTTTTTATTGATTAGCCACTTTGTACCTGCACTGCCCTAAGCGTTTTGGATGCTTTTGTCGTTTTATTATTGGGGCAGTCTCAGAGGTTGAGGGTTTTATCTCCATTTTACAGTTGAGTAAATGGAGATCACAGGATTAAATGACCTCAATGGATACATAGCAACTTTTTATTCTCAATCATCTGAAATTCTTGAACATATTAGAATTTGGGCCAAATCTATACAGATATTCTCCCAAACTGTAAATGAACCGGGTTTATTCCCATTAAGTGAATTTACCCTAACATGAATCTCAGAGAAACATTTTCAGACATAGTTGGATTTTGGAATTAGAATAAGGGCTTGGGGACTTGATTTCTCTTTGGGGAGAGACTCTCCAAAGTATGGAATTACCACCATTTGTATTTCTGGAAGGACCTGTGGGTCTTTAGGTCTGATTCTTTTTTTTTTTTTAATAAAAGAATTCTATTAATTGGTGTGGGTGAGTGTTGGTGTGCCATGGGGCATTTCTGTTCTTTGCTTTACCTTGTATAGTCTGGGGACTGAATTTAGGTGATAAGTAAACAGCATGTGTACTCACGAGCTGTCTCACCAGCACTAAGTCAATGGTTGTTACCTGTCTTCAGAAAGCAATGCTGTTTTTGTTGTTGTTCAACCAGGAAAGTTATTCATATCATTCCATAGGTGTGTGCATGTGCGTGTGTGTGCATGTGCGTGTGAATTGTGGGAATTGGTTTTTTCTTTGGACCATGTGAATGGGTCTCAGGGATCTAACTCAGGTGGTCAGGCTTGGTGGATACCCACTGGGCCATCTTGTTGGCCCAGGTTTGTTCCTTTTTCTTAGGCTGGTTCTGTCTTTCTGCTCCATTACCCTGTCTCCAGGTCTGATTCATTACCTATCTCCCTCCTTCCTTCACTCCTTCCCTCTTCCTTCCTTCCTTCCTTCCTTCCTTCCTTCCTTCCTTCCTTCTATCCTTCCTGTCTTTCTTTTTTTTTTTTTTCATGTGGTCTTGCTGTGTCTCCTTGCCTGGTCTGGAGCTTACTATGTAGACCAGCTGGCCTTAAACTCATAGTGACCTGCCCCTCTCTGCCTAAAATAAATAAAAGGCATGTACCACCTTTTTAGCTATTTGAATAAGAACTGAGAACTGGAGTTGTTTTTTTGCTTGTTTGAGATAGGGTCTCATTATATAGCTCTGACTGTCCAGTAACTTCTTATGTAGGCACAGCTAGCCTGGAACTCACAGAGATCCTCCTGCTTCTGTCTCCCAAGTGCTGGGATTACATGTGTGCCACCATATCCAGCTGAGAACTGGAGTTCTAATTCCTACTTCTAGAAGTTTAATGGTGGCAGTTCTGGGTTCAATGTCTTTATTATTCTCAGATGCTTCAACTTTTTGAGACATTTAAGTGAAGATGCTTGTGTAGTAAGAAGACTGGACTTCATATATATTGCAGGTATAATCGGAAATTCAACACGAATTATTGAGGGTAGCAGGAGATCAGGATAGAGAAAATGGTTTTCAGGAAACTTCTTGCTTGCGGTCAAGGGTCTTCTCAGGTTGATGGCCCATGGGGTCAAAGATGTCACAGGTCTGGCCTGTGTCCAGAGAAGGCAGATCTCATAGTCTCTTTTCTGCCAGGTTGCAAAGACAGTGTTAACATCTGAACAACTGAAACCACATCAAGAAAAACCGAATTTTATCATCAAGGTTCCAAAGGTAACAGCCTTTGTCCACCTAGCCTGTCAGAGTGGTGTGCAGGCGAGCCCGTTCTCCCTGCCTCTCCTTTTTTATATCCTCTGGGGAGGGGGGTTTTGTTTTATTGTTCTTGAAATTCTAGAGGGGCCTCAAGTTAGTTTCAAACATTAGATTATGGACGTGACTTAACCTATTGTCTTAACTGCTCTTGATCTTTACTTTGGCCACTTTTGTTTTCCAGGGCACCAGGGATTTAAGTCCTCAACAAATGGTTGTGAGGGAGGAAATTCTTGATAAGATTATCAGCTGTTTTAAACGTCATGGAGCAAAAGGGTTGGATACACCAGCATTTGAGCTAAAAGTAAGAACGGAAGGGTGCTGAGAACCTCATTGTTTACCTGCCTTTAATTTCCCTGTGGTCTGTAGTCAGTCCTCTGAGCTGTGAATTTTTCTGTCTGACTCTTACAGGAAATGCTCACTGAGAAATATGAAGACAACTTCGGCCTCATGTATGATTTGAAGGATCAAGGTGGAGAGTTGCTGTCTCTTCGCTATGACCTTACTGTATCCTTCAGAATGCAGGAGCCTGACCTGTTTCTCCCCAAATCCAGAGGACTTTTTCTGGCAGAACTTTGACAGTTACCTTTATGTCCAGTTTCTCCCAGAAGGCATTTCTTCCTTCAGAGCCTAACATGAAGACCCTGTTGTTTAACTTCAGGTGTATGAGAATGTCTCCAGGAAGTTTGCAGAAACAGAGTACTGAGTTTAGCTCCAGAGATCCTAAATTCTATAACTGGTGTTTATAAACGTTCCTGTAAAAGAAAATTAGCTATATTGTGCATGTGTAGATGGCATTTATGTGGACATGCATGTGAAGCTAAGGGGAGAACTTTGTGGGGTCATTTCTCTCCTAACTCCTGTATGGGCCCTAGGGCTAGAACTCAGATTGCCAGACTTGTAGAGCAGACCCCTTTCCCTGCTGCACTATCTCATGAGTGCTAAACCAGTGGTTCTCAACCTGTGGGTCACGACCCTCCAGGAGTTGCATGTCAGATATCCTGCATATCAGATATGTACATTATGATTCATAACAGTAGCAAAACAAAACAGAAACAATTACAAAGTAGCAACAAAATAATTTTATGGTCAGAGGAGTTCACCACAACATTAGGAACTATATCAAAGGGTCACAGAGTTAGGAAGGTTGGGAACCACTGCTCCAAACATTTAAAAACAGAATCCTGGAAAATAGGCATGTGGTCTTTGGCCTATGCTTTCAGGAACAGGATTTTAAATTGTAGGCGAATTCAGTTCTGAAGCTTGACTACTTTGTAGGTAATGGTCTGAATGGGAAGAAATAGTCCAGGCCTAAGTTTCTTCGGTCATTTCTATCCCTGCCTCCTTTTTCTGGTCAACTTTCAGTTTCAGTAAGTGAAACACCTATAACACCAGGCACTGCTAGGCTTCAGAGACAGTGGGAAACCAGCCTAGAAAGGTCCTCGTTTTCATTCTGTAAAATAAGGATGATTTCCAGGAACTCAGTTCTCCCTCATGTCTGAATGGTAGGTCTTCACATTGAACACAGTATCTTTCTTCCTCAATCTCTTTATGTAAGGTCCCTTTTGCTCGCTATCTGGCCATGAATAAAGTGAAGAAGATGAAACGATATCAAGTTGGAAAGGTGTGGAGGCGAGAGAGCCCAGCCATAGTTCAGGGCCGCTACCGGGAGTTCTGCCAGTGTGTAAGTGGCTGACTGGGACAGCATGGTTAAATGATAGTTTTAAGTTGGGCTTAGCTCATCAGGGGAAGGCTTGTTTTTCTACCATTTTGTTTGTTTGGGTTTGTTATTTTGTTGTTGTTTTGCTTTGTTTTTTGTTTTTGAGACAGGGTCTCTTTGTGTAATCCTGGCTGTCCTGGAACTCACTGTGTAGCTAGCTTTGAACTCATAGATCCATCTGCCTCTGCCTCCCAGATGCTGGGATTAAAGCTGTGCACCACCATGACTGGTTTTCTTCTTCTTCTTCTAATTCTTCTTCTTCTTCTTCTTCTTCTTCTTCTTCTTCTTCTTCTTCTTCTTCTTCTTCTTCTTCTTCTTCTT